CGTTATTTTGAAATATTGGGGGTTGGAGGTCAACCCAACCGGCCCAATATTCTTGTAGGCCATTTTTTTTCTTGACTTCACAACCAAATTATCTTACGATTCAAGTGGAAAAAAATGGTTATTTACGAGTTTTTAGGTCCTAAATAAACAGACAAATTTTGCCGATCTCTAGATTAACAATGTCTCAATTCCGAAAATTTAACTATTCCACTGAATTTAATGTTGCCCGAAATCGGTCTTGCTCAAGGCCACCAAGATCAAGGCCACCTAGCTGTTGCAAGACCAAGACCAGGACTGGTAATAAAAAATCGATTTTTTAAATAAAAATGAAGGCAAAATAGTTACTAATATTTGATAATGTTAGTTACTATATGATAATAATTGGTATAACCAATATACTTTTGCATTTAACTCCTCTAATTTTTCGTTCGCTCTCAGTTAGGTTTCTCCCATCTAAAAACTTACAGTAATATCTCAATAGTGATAAGTTAATAAGTAACTGCAAAACTGTTGCGAGACTCTTGCGCATGACCAAGACGGAGTTTGCAAGACCAAGACTCGTCTTTGTCTCGCATTTGAGCAATACTAGTTGTCTCACTTCTTAAGGGCATAGAAGTCTTATTTAGATAGATTTTTTAATTATTTAGAAAATTTCTTCCAAAATTATCCGAAGTGCTCAAGGGATCACAGAGAGAGTTATTCTCCATCTATCTTTTCAATCGAGTTTTAGTCCGTCGGAGCCTAACACAAAAAGCAATATTTTATTTATTTGGCATGTCAATCATATAACCTAACAGTTCTCGAAGACAAGACCTTTTCGGGCTTTAAAACGAGAGGTCCCATAGTTCCTTTGAAAATAAATATGGTTCTTTATTTCTGTGTAGAAATATTTAAAATATATCTATATCGTCTCGATTCGTCGACATTGAAACCATCCGAATTTTGAAACCTCTAAATTTTTACAATCAACTTTTATTAATGTTGTTAAAGGAATTTAATTATCGAAATCCCTTTTTTTCAATACCTAATTCAATAAAATCTATCGCTCCTGAGAACATATAAGGGATCTAAACAACCAGAAACTATAAGATCTATCGCCATCTTAACACGTCTGGTTAACGTTGATAACGTTTTTGCAAATTAGTTATCTAAGACAATTCTTGAGCTTTATATGTTAAAATAGTGTAAATAATTAATATTTGTAATTAAAACATTATCACGTTCACCCTAACTACCACTCAACCCCAATAATCATTTGGTTTGACAAAAAAAAAAAGTATATATATATATTTAGATATTCACAAATACTTAACCGCTGATAACATGATGGTTTGGGGGCATCTCGCTGTCAGGTTGCGCCTCAAGCAAGGAAGGTTAGAATTAATCAGATAATTCCCACCTGTTTAATGTTTAAATATGCAAATGAACCAATTCTTATGAATCTATCAGAGGCGATGTAGCAACATTGGTTAGTATAATAAATTCTGATGTCTTATTTATGGAGTGAGGTAGCCAACCTATTATTTTTTTTTTCTAGGTGGTTGTTAATGAATTCTTAAGATTTTTTATCTGTCTTAAAGTGTCCAAAGATGTAATATGGTAAATAGTTTGATTTTTTGCCAAAAAAAAAAAGAAATAATCTTCTGATTATAATCTATATAAGTAAAAATTATATGACAGCCAAAAAAAAAAAATTACAATATTGAAATTTTACAATATGAAAAAAAAAATCTTAAATAATTGATAATTTATGTTATCAGTAACAAGGGAGGTATTATTGGCACAGGAACTGACTGTACTGAATATGAAATAAATTTTATTAAATAGATCTAATAAAGTCATTTCATAATAAATTAGTATACACACACGAATGTCACTAACATAAGTAAATTTTTTATGCAGCTGAACTTTCAAGAATATTTTTGTGAATTTCGACTTTATATATAAAAAAAATCCAAGTGCAACGAAATGACACAAATACTTTTTACAATAAGCACTAATTTTCTAATTATATAAAAAAAAAATAGGTAAAATTTCTCTGTGATTTCAGGTAATGAAATGTCCACTGATTTTTATTTTTTTTTTATAAACCGTTAGATTATTGTTTTAATTCTTATTTCATAAGCTATTGATAGATATGTACTACGGATTAACTGACTATTGTATTGATCTATTTATATATACATATATATAACACATAAGTAGCTTAATATATGTGCTGGTGGACAGTGCTGAGACTGTCGGTGTGTCCCTGGCCTGATCGAAGCTCTATTTTTTAAAATTCTAGCTTTGGAGAGGATCCCATCGTTGACTTATAAAAAGAAAATACGGTTATCGTAACGTCAATAAACATAGAGGAAATGAACATTCAGTAGTTTATTGAATAATTGATAAATGAAATTATTCCCAATTAAATAGTTATGTTTAAATATATATATATATATATATATATATATAGGCTAGTAGTTTATTTTTATTTTAATGTTACGCAATTTCGTGTCCTAATTATTCTTTTCCAGTCATTATGTGCCAGACAAATCTATGTTATAATGTGTTTGCCATTGTTCATGTTAACTATTCATAGGGGACTAAACGTCCCAGAATAAAAATTAGTTTCTTTCTTTCTTCACAAGTTGTGTGAATACTCCCTAATATAATGTTTGTATTTGTTATCCCTTCTGCCCGTCGCGCCAAATTATTATCATAATATTCCAACACAGAACCATTTTGATTTTGAAACTCGAAGGCCCATGAACGGCGATGTGGTAAGCTAGTGCCACACATCCATCAGGACATGTGGTACAACATATTTAAGCAACCGATCCCAAGATTAACAGCCCTACCTCTGCGTCATATATCATCCAACTGTGGGCTAAATCTTTCTTTTCTGATGCCGGTACTAGCTGAAGTAAAACTGGCCTAAGATGGAGAAGGCGGCATAAGATTAAACACACACAGCCTTCCCTGTCATTTTAAATGCAAAGGTAGAGAACATGAATGATGAACTGATTGTTGTCAGGAAAGGACTGAATGGCTCTGTGCTCGGGCCGCTTGAGTCGGGGAGGGAGAAGGAAAAAAAAATGCAGTACTCCATCCTTTAAAGAAGCGCTTAAATTTATTAAGCGCATTAGTGAATTTTAAGTGGCTAATTAAAAGTAGCATTAGGTGTAATAAAAAATCCACGGTGGCCTCATCTGTTTTTATTAACGCTACACGTTTCTTAGCGATTTGTAAAAACTGCTTCTTTTTTTTAAACTTTTTACCAGCTACGGTGATTTTTTTCTCTCTTGAATTTTCGTTTAATAAAAAAAAAATAAAAGGAAAGTAGAGGTATCCTCTTGATATTTTATCCTTATTTTCATTATTTATGTACAATTTTCATACTTTTATATAAAAAATACAAAACGTTCCGTAATGTAAACCTTGTGTAGGCTTAAATTAAATAATATTTTTTTAAAATATTATTCATTGATAATTTATTATAATGAGTTGAAACAAACACAATCATTTTTTAAGGGGACTTTCCCCAAAGACAGGTAACAATAATTACAATTAAAATAAAATTCTAAATTTATCGAACGATAACATAACGTGATACATTATAATAAATATAACCTAAGTTGAGGCAATATGTATTTTTAATTGGCATTAAAGCAGTATGGTAATAGAAAATATTATTGGAACTATCGTGAAAAAAATATATTAATCTTAGACATTTTTACAAACTCATTTATTTTATTCTATATTTTTTTAAAATTTAGTTGCATCACCTTGTTTTTAATTTGTATTTGAAATTTTTTTGGACAAAGAAAACACGACAAAACATATTTCGTCTTTATTTTAATAGTTTATAAATTCAATGTCCAAATTTTAATATTATAAATTTCTATAACATTATGGCTCCAATTTTTATTGTTTTATTCCTTCTACTTTACGGTTATATTCATTAATATTTTTTTCAAATATTGACAATACATTTTAAGATAAATAATAGGTCATTAAATATCTTTAAATTATCTATTTTTAATTTGACATGATTTCTATCTCTGTATATTATTCTAAACGGAAATGTCACAGAATAAATGATGCATCATTATTATTATTATTAATTATTGATAATTTGTATAGGAATAGCTATATTAATATCGAAATGAGGCAGATTATTATAAATAAATATTATTGTGATGTCTTTGACTAGACCTATTTTAGTAAGTGAAGTCAATTATTTGATTTAAAAAAAAAATGTTTAAAAATTCAACTGCCGTAATAAAATACATACGTACATATTTGAAAATTTTAACTTGTTTGTTCCTTCCAAATACACTAAATACAATTTTTTTTTTTTTTTTACTATATTTAGATTCAATGGTATCAATTTCTTTACATAGTATATCGTTTCAAAGTGAAAACGGATAATTTAAAATTTCTTCGTGCCTCTTAGTCTGAATAACTATTCCATTGAATTTAGTGTGCCCAAAAACCCAAGATCAAGACAGCCTAACTGTTGCAAGACCAAGGCCAGGACCGGTAAAAAAAATTAAGGCAAAATAGTTACTAATACTCGACAATTTTAGTTGCTATATGTTAATAATTGGTATAACCAATATACTTTTGCGTTTAATTCCTCTAATTTTTCATTTGGGCTCGGTTAGGTTTCTCCTATATAAAAATTTATAGTACTAAGCTAATAAGTAACTGCAAGACTGTTGCGAGACACTTGAGCAAGACCAAGACTCGTCTCGGTCTCGCATTTGGGCAACACTAATTGAATTTAATATTTAAAAAGTGTTTTTATCTTATAAATATTTTAAAATAGATTTAAGGGTATTCAGATGATTTTAACTTGCTGGTTTCTTCTAGGGTTTTTATTCTCATTTAGTTATAAATTGTATTTGTACTACATTTTTTTTTTTAAATTAAAAATAAATACATTTTATAGGTATTTTATGTCAAAGCAAAAGAAAAAAATAGAATTTGAAAAAAACAAAACATGTACTTACTTTTTTTCCCGTTTACCCGCTCCTGTATCCCGGAATCCTTTCGCAAAGGGGTTATTGTCAATTTTTAATTGTGTGATCTAAAAAAAAAATAAAATAAGACATGTAACATATGACGACGAATGATTCCTTAGTTAAAATAAATGGATTTATAGTAATTGATAAATTGAAGTAAATTGAGATATGTTACCTTTTCGTTCTGGTATGCCGTGACTGCGATGAATTCGGTCTCTTTGAACACGTACGTCCTGAAGGTTGAATATGGCAACTTGAGAATGTCGTTGGCTCTGACCAGGTGAAACCTCGGCTGGTATTTATGCATTGAGTTCAGGATCGTCTGAAAAAAACCTTGAGGCTGAGTAGACACCCCATGTTAGATGTCCAAGGTAAATAGCACTAAAGAATACAGATGAGTAATACATAAGACGCATTGTCGAACCGAGATATTTGTCTCATTGTACCCTCCAGGAACTAAAATTAACGTTATGTTAAAGGGGTATGCAGACCCGCTACTTGAACGTTACATATATATATATATATATATATATATATATATATATATATATATACATGTAAGTACAAAGCGTTAATATATAAAAATGCACAATCATATTTTTATATACGGAAAAAATGGAAAAATAAAATTCTCTAACTATCAGAATACATCAGACATAAACAGGGGTTGAATTTTTTTTTTTTTTAAACTGCCAATTTAACGGTTTTGATGAAACGTTTTAGGAAAAAAATTCTAAGGAGTTCCCGGTTTATAACTTTTTTATTTTATTTTTTTTTTTTTTTAATTTCTTTATTGAGTATTATAACAATCTGTCTGTTCGACATTGGTTATAGTGAGGTAGGATGACATTCACACCATATGTACAAAAAAATAAAATAAATAGAACAAAATAATAATCAAAAGTATATACAATAGACAATAAAATAAAATAACCTAAAAAATAAGAAAATTAAAACAAAGGAAAAAAAAAAAAAATAACATGCATACCTATATACAATCAGGCGAGGGAACTCCAGGAGAACCCTGCGCTACTCTTCCAACCGCGTCACTGGTACTAAAGCCAGCGGAGATTGGTCGAGAGCACTAACTTTTTTATTAATGAAATATAATTAAAATGAAGAGAAAGTTGGGATGAACAGTCAAATTAAAATGGCAAAAATAAATAATTTTATTTATTTTTACAATTTATTTATTTTTAGTATTTATTATTTTTACTATTTATTTAATTTGACTGATCACTCCAACCATCCTTATGTTCAGTTATTCACTACAGTCAACCATAAACCCACAATTATAATTAAAATGAAATAAAATTCTATATCTATCAGAATACATCATAAATAAAAAGGGGTTGAAACTTTTTTTTTTTTGACATATATCTGTCTCGTGGACAATAATTATATTGATATATGAACACGTTCACACTAAATAACAATAAAACTAAATAATAATAAAAAAAACTATGTATAATAAAAAATAAAATAACCTAAAGATAAGTAAAACTTTTATGGAACCTTTTTAAAATGTTCCATTTTAACAGTTTCTGTGAATATTTTTTTGAAAAAAGTGCAGGTTTGTGGTAAAAGTTACACTTAAAACTTAAGTTCTGTAAAAAAAAAATTCCAGTCATGCCGAAACTTGAAAAAAGAGAAAGTTTTTTTTTTACCGTTTCAAGCCCTGTACATAAACGCTCAGTTCAATGGACCTCTCAAAGAAACTCAATTCGTATATTTTATCCGCAGTAATATAATAGTGTGGTAGATATAAAAACGTCGTTTCAACTTTTTTACATAAAAAAAAAATTAAAACTTGAAGGGTAAATAAAAATTAAATAAAACAAATATACTAGAAGAATTTTCTAGATATGAAATCAGAACATTGTGTAAGTAGTGTCATTTTTAATTATATTTAAACGTTGAAGTACTCCATCAAAAACTGTTTGCAATAAACCGATGATTCAAATTCAAATACATTTATATTCAATTTACGTTTAGTTTAAAATCAAAGCCCATGTAAAATTGAAATTCTAACCGACTATGGATTTTGGCGGTATTGATTTAAATTCACACTATACAGTAAGGATTTTTTATATGTTTTCTTGAAGGTAAGAGAAAAAAAAACATATTTTTCTCCGAATGGAATAAAAGTTGAAAATTATTTTAAAAAAAAAATGAGAAAATAAAAAAATTATGGATGACATATAGGACAATATTTAGGAACATTAGGAAATAGAATAATTCCTGAAGATGGGGCAGAACCTCAGAACTTTGGATATGTAAGAGAAAAAAACGATTAATCAAATAATTTACCCCGGGACGAAGATATATTTTTTTTTTTTTGCGTACCTTCAAAAAACTATATAAAAACATTTCTCGTTCTAGATTTTCATACATCATAGCTATAAAAATATTTTTACTCTAATATATTAAATAACTATGTAATTGATGAGAATTCCTATGTAAAGAAACGGACCAGTTCTATACTTCATAATTTAATATTTGTTATTAACGCTATTAATTTAAATTAAATTTAAGATTTCAATTTAGTACAAACTTTAATCTATTCCCTTCTTTCAAAGATTGAAATCATCCGTACCCAAAATTTCTATATTTTTTTGTTACCGGTATTTCGATATTTTGATTTCATATTTACATTCCTAATCTTTTAAAATATTAATAATAACGAGGACTGATATATTGATACATCGACTTTTTTCGGTATATCGAATTTCTATTTTGATATATTTGAAAACTATCGATACGATATATATATATATATATATATATATATATATATATATATATTTCTCAATATTGACATAGTCGAATCGGATTACAGAGGTCGAATCGGATAGGTATTTGATTTGGAATACTTGTAGTTTTTTCATGTAAGTTGTTGTAGTGAAGAGCAAGCGTATGTATGTTAAAATCGGTCTTATTAATGAATTATTCAGAATTTCTTTATATTTAGGTTATAGTTTTTTTTTTATATTTATTATTATTTTGTAGAATACTTATTTCGTCTGATAAAGGGCATGGACCTATTTAACCCTGGTACGAAAAATTCGAATCATTTTTTTTTTGCGCCGTTTTCGTATAAAACAAAAAAAAATTATTAATAAAGACTAAAATATAATTAGAAAACCGAATCAAAACATGGAAGCAGTGACCAATAATGAGAGGAGACGGTAACATTTGATGTCCTGTTCGCCGTTCAATAAAGAAGTCCTGAACAGCCAGTTCTCAGCCAGGATGTGTCCTTAAATCTCAACAGTATAATTTAGATGAAGCTGGAAGAATGTGAGGTGAATGAGTCTCTCCTGTCAAATCTCAATCTTTCAACTTTATTATCAGCCGCTTTCTTTCCTCTTCATTTTTTTTTCTTCTTCATCTTTGATTTATTTTATTTTTAAAATTCCTTTATTTCTTATTCGCCAGCTTGCTCTAGAGATTTTTCAATAATCATATTATTGATGCATAAGTATACGAATTAGGTATCACAAGGTTTTAGGCTTCTACTTCGACAATATTCTTTTCTTTTTTTTGTAATTGAAATAAAAGTAATTTAGTGCAAATTCCTTTTTAACAAATTATAAACATTCAACTAAAACTACCTAAGTGCGTTCATCTTATCGATACCAACAACTTTTTTATCAAAGAAAATTCTAAAAAATGAGGCGTTTTTTCAATAAATTAATTTAATTCAATAACGTATTTAATGAGTTACTAAGTATCCTACAATTTTTTTATCTACGAAAATTCTCAGAAATAGGGCACATCTTTTGCTACATTACTAACATTTTTAACATGCCGGTGTAAAACTACCGAATGGTATGGACTACCAACTACCAATAACCAAAATACAAAATGGTATGGAAGTGTTACTTCATCGATTTAACACATTTTTAAGATTTTTTCAAAAACGTCTTGAACGATTTAGATTAAACTCAGTGTATCACTATATTATTAAGTAAGTAGTTTTTAATATAATTTAGGTGTTCTTCTCATAGGTTTTCTTTAACAGGGCTTAAATGGCTAATTTTCAATATTAGCTACCTCTAAAGTTCCTTTATTTGAAATAATTGACTATTTCACATTAATCTTTGATATAAAAAATAGTTGAACATACAATGTGAAATAAATTGATAATTAACCAAAGAAATAAAGAAATTCCAAAGAAGAAACCAAAGGAATACGAGCGTGCCCGAGCTTACCCGATCTCGCCCGAAAGATTAGACCAGGCTTCCATGCGAAACTTGAGCTTAATATAATACGGGCTCTGGCAATATTATGTACACATACATATGCGATTTTCATAAATGGTATCGTTGGCATTATTTAATATTTAATTGCATCGATTACAACGATATAAAAATTAAAATTTTTATGTATAAGGATACTAAAACAAATAAAAATACCCACAATGAAATGTAAATAAATAAAGAGTCTATAATTTTTAATTTCACTTCCCCATTGTCTGAAAATACTTATTTCTGCTAAGAAGAGAGTGGTAAGTGAAAATCGTGTGATGCGCGCACCAGATTTTTTTATCCATTTTTTCACGAATTTTATTGATTCGATTTTTTTTTCACACTTCACGATTTTAGTTTGGGAGCTAAATTCATAATAAGAAATTTAAATTTGAACTGAATTCAAATCAAAAAGATCATTTATTCTTATTTACGTCAACTGTGAGAAATTTCGAAAGAGCATTGCATTTTATATTTTTCTATATTATAGTTTTTGTTCGATATGTATGACTTTTATTCGATGTATGTAAATGTGTTGTAAATGGGTACACACGGCATCAATTGTAAATTTATTGTGGATATTACTAACTATGAAATAAAATAATATTAAAAAAATATCAAGATTTCCTAAAAAAGTTAGACTTATAGATATTTTCGATATATGAATTTTCGACAAAGGTTCGACGGTATTTTACTTTTCTTACAGACATTAATTGAAGAAAAATAGCAATAGTTGAAAGACCAAACTTTGAATACATTTTGTTCATTCAATATAGTGAATATATTTTTCTTTTGATGTATTTACTTCTAAATATGTAAAACTGGCCAACTGTTTTGACAAATGTGGAAAAGTTTTTTCCCCATAACAAATAGAAGGAAAATTATTTTCTTTACCTTTAGATTTGCTCATAATTTTTATTAGATAATTTTAGGAGATTATATATTTTTTTCAACTGTTGAATAGTAGTTTTTATCATTTAGTATAATGGGGTAAATTAGTCCATAATTTCCACCCCTATCGTTCTCTTTCGCGCTCCATCGACCATTCCACCCTCTCTCATTCATCTAATTGGAGTTGTCATCGCCTTAC